TCCCTCCGCCCTTCTCCCTTCCCACTCCTCCCTCGCTATTGAACTCCTCCTCCATCCTCCATTCCCTCCCTCGTCATCGATCTCCTCCTCCCTCCATCGTTGTCCTCCCCCTCCCTCTTGCATCATCGCCGTCGTCCTCCCTCCGCCCTTCTCCCTTCCCCCTCCTCCCTCGTTATCGATCTCCTCCTCCCTCCTCCATTCCCTCTCTTGTCATCGATCTCCTCCTCCCTCCATCGCTGTCGTCCCCCTCCCTCCTTCATGATGTCGTCCTTTTTTTCTTTTTTTTTTGCATATATGAAATTTTTAATAGTGCACCACTGCTCCCCCTCCCTCCATCATCATCGACGTCGCCCTCCCTCCACACTTCTCCCTTCCCCCTCCTCCCTCGGTATCGATCTCCTCCGCCCTTCGTCGTTGTCCTCCCCTTCCCTCCATCATCGGTGTCGTCCTCCCTCCGCCCTTCTCCCTTCCCCCTCCTCCGCCGCTATTGATCTCCTCCTCGCTCCTCCATTCCCTCCCTCGTCACCCATCTCCTCCTCCCTCCGTCGTTGTCCTCCCCTTCCCTCCATGCCCAGCGCACTGGTGCACTGCGCATCCAAGTGCCGCGCAGCGCATCCCGCATTGCGCACTGCGCATCGATGCGCGCGCATCCCCGACGGGCGCACGGCGCGCTGCGCACCGCACCGCATCGCGCAGCGTATGGATGCGCCGCAAGTATGATCTTTACCCTTCTGGTACTCACTGGTTCCAGGCTTAACCCAGACACAAACCTAGCAATGAGGCTATTCCCTGGGACATGCATTGTCACATTTTCTGCTGCAGCCCTGTTCAGATATTCTGTGAGTTCCAACATGGGGCTGCTGCTGGTTCGCTTCGAGTCCTTTTGACAAAGTGAGAGTCAGGTCCGCCTTTGTGTGCTTGCTTCTCCCTCTCTCAGCATCCAGACACAAAATGACGCATTTATAAATCATAACTACATGAACAAGATGCTCAGCCACTCACACAACAATCAGTGCACCCACACTCTTGAAAGGCAGTTCACATTCCCAACAGTAGCAGGCCTGCAGGAAGATCACAACGAGCAGAGGATAACCACACACACACACACACACACACACACACTCTTCAACAGCTACCTACCATTTGTGGCCAGAATCATATTAAGCGAGAGCGGGTGGAAGAATGGCACACCTGGAAGCATTGCTTGAATAAGTGGGAGGAGTGCAGACCAATCACCCTTGCTCTCTGCTAACCTTCGACAGATTGTTGGCTGTTGACAAGAAAACCCAACGCGAAGGACCACAGGAGAGGTCAACTCAAGAGCAACTCTGCATAACTCTTGGGGTGCGCTATATCATATCACCACTACAACTGGAGCTGCCCTGACAAGCCCAACGAGACCCGATAAATACCATCGTTCATCGGACAAGGGAAAACCCCAGCCTTGCTTTGGGAAACATGAAAAAGGCAACCCTCCTTATGTAAGGGTAGTTTACTGCTTAGAGACGCAGGGTCATTTTGTCCAAAGCCAGAATGCCAGCAGAGCAGTTCAAACACTGAGATGCCAACTAGGTTCGGGTTCCAAGGGAGGGCAACACATATACCGATACCGTAGCTCCGCAGCCGCAGCATGACATGCATCTTACTGGGCATAAGCAAATAAACACTGGCTGTCATTCTTCTTCATCAGAGAACAAGCCAGTTAGCAAATGGATAACGCGTGACAAATGGTAACTCAGAAAGTTTAACAAAAAGAGTCTTTCAGATAAACGCATTCGCTAAATTGCCACTTTCAGTCTTTCAGTCTTTCAGAAAGTTTTCGACTATTTCTGGACCAAATACCTCTCGATCAGGATGAAAATGCCCAAAGCTGGAGCGGCCCAACATTCATATCCGAAGATCTTTCATTTCTTTTCCTTTCTTTTTGACTGGAAGATAAAAAGAACAAAACCATCCAGGTGGGTAGGTCAGCCAGAGTGTTTTGGATGCACAACCATGCAGGTTATGGCAGGCACATCTCATGAAGGTTGTGGCAAGCACATCTCCTCCTCCAAGAAAGAGAGGTGGTAAGCCAAGCCAAAAGGCTAAAAGCCATGGTGATGGTAAGCCAAGCCAAAAGGCCCGAAAGTTTCAAGAAAGGTTCTCTGATATCTGAAAGTTTTCCAGCAAGCTCCTGATTCGTGGACAATGATGTCAACATGTGGGTTACATTCTGAGGCAACGACATGCAATAAATACCTGGGTTGCACATCCATAGAGTACATGGAGCAAGCCCTCTTCTGTGGCTGCTGGGTCAAGAGTGACCAGCGACTTTATCTCCACAATATCGTCACCCAGATCCCCTGCTCCAGTGTTCACTCCAGCACCAGCCAAGGACCCAGTATCTGAAGGACTCATTCCCAGTTCCTTGACCTGTTCTGTCAGGTTCTCTTCCACACCTGTGGCACGTGGCAGTCCTCCAAGATTGGACCCTGCCCAACCACCTCCACCAAACTCTCCACTCATTTCGCGCAGAGGCCCCGCTGTTGATGTTGACAGCGACATTTGAAGTTTTCGTAATATCCTTGCCACCTGAAATACCCAAAATAACTTCACAATCAGGGAACATCCTACCACATCACGCATCTCCCAGGTTCCAAAACTGTCCAGCCCAGATCTCTCTACTACCTCTGCCTGACCAGAGTATGAACTTTCCAGGATGAATCTGACCAGAGTATGACCACAAAGGTACATCGCCACAGCTTCCGAAAATTGTGATATTTGTTTCTTACATGGCGCCACCCGGTCATGACAAGGGCCAAATTGTGGCCAACTTTCGCCATCTGCTGCTTCTTTTTGGGTGCCATGGTCACAACTTGGTCCACATACATGTGGAAGGAAAAATAGTCCGAAATTGGGAGGGGGACTTTTCCTTGGTGTAAGGCCAGTTCTTTGTCACATAGATGGCAGAGGAGGCGGGGGGTTCGCAAAACGACATGGAAATACCAAGGCAAAACGAAGGAACCTGTAATGATCTGATTCAATTAGACTCCAAAATAGGAATCATGCAAGTCCCCAAAGTTCACACCGTCCTCACAAAACAAAGCAAAGATATTATTCCCAATTACAAATTTGTCAGAGTCATCCAAACACATGCTCCAGCGGTAATGGTCGTCAAGCCCTCACACCCAAGTACATACTCGCTCTCTCGCTCTCTGTCTCTCCCTCTCTCACTCTCTTCACTCTTGCTCCTATCTCTCTCTCTTTCTTTGAATGCACTTAGCGCTCACACCCCAACTGCTACCTCATCTCTCTCCTCTCTTGCAAATCCTAGCTATGGCGACACACACCAGGTTACTCTGCCAGTTCACCCTACCAGTTGCATTGAACTGTCGGACAAGCGTTCGGCAGCACTTTTGCAACATGCCAATGAACACGTGGTTTGCCCAGGTACTGTAGCTGCTTAAGAAGCAGCTGCAATTGACAATCTTTGTCGGCTCTAGACAGGTAATGGTCTCCCAAGGCCTGTTGTCCGCAGTTGTGCCGGTTCCGGAAGCCATTGGGTGTTCCTTGGAAGGTGCTGCTAAATTTAGACAGGAACTTGGGACTTTTCATGTCAGGTACCGGACCTTCTGCACGCCCAACAACCTACAGGCCTGAATATGTGTTTCAACCACTGGGCCTGGCGGTTCGGCGACAGTACATGAAACTGTGACATTGGATCACTGGGAGCACCACGCGGGACTTGTCTGACATGTCAAATCCTGTCAAACATGTGTGGGCCCCATAATACACCTGGTACAACACCCTGCGCAAAAAGCAGCACACTCACGCCACGTAAAACCACATCGAGTCGACATAGTGTCACATAGTACCACATACCAGTACCATACAGTACCGCATATTGCGACATACTAACGTCTAGTTCCCTACAAATATTATACCACATTGTACCTCAGCTCACACACATTGTTACATACCCACCCGAACTGCATACAGCACACCCAACCCAGACAGCGACAAACCCACACCATTTCACATGGCCCATCGGCATTGCAATGCCCCAGGACTGTTCAGGCACAGTAATTAGCCGTGGCACGCCTGGACTCGTTGGTTTGGACTTGTTTTCTATATAGTAACTGACGGGTGAGTCGCTTGTTCTCAGTTCGACTCGTAGTCAATGAGCCTCGGGTTCACCTCATGCAGCGCCTAGTTCTGTGTTTTCCAACACACTGCCGGCACACCAGATACACTGGCCTGTTAAGGGTCCTCAATTTCTATATACAGAACTATCAGATGGGTCCATGTCTATGGCTGGACAATGTGCATAGCATTGGCCACAACAAAACTGAAAAACCATGAAGTAACCTTAGGAGCTCCTAGATTTTATGCCTGCACAAGCACAATCAGCAGCTTTAAAAGTCCAGGCCAAAAATTTATCTGTGTGGGGGGAGGTCAGGGGTGATGTGGAGAGGGGTGGATTAGGACCGACCTACGGGCTGTGTACTAAAGCATTTGCTAGTAGAATCCAACAGAGGTTTTGAGTGTCAGACAACATCCCTCCTTTGGCTGGAAATGGATTGCTGCAACTCAGGAGTTGGGCCAGTCTCCTCCTCCCAGACCTGTCCATAACATGCCTCCAAGGTGTCTCCATGAACCTTCTGTGGCTTTCCTCACAAATACCGCATGCCACCACAAGCTGCTCTCATAAGAAACATGCAACGGGCATAGCAACAGTCACGGAGAGGGATAGGAAAGTAGTCTGTCTTTAAGGCTGAAAACGATAAAAATGCAAATAACAATTCATTGCCATGATTAATAAAATATATCTTAACAATCTACTAACCTTGCGTGCTGCCGTGCCCAGATTCGTATCCTTGTGAGCACTGCGGAGCAACTGCACAATCATGTCTGGCCGTAGAGCGAGGGCATGCCCATCCAACACCCGAGTCTTCTTCGGAGGTCCCTGAGGCCCCACAACACCATAACCAGAATGGTGACATATTCTGTAAGCATTTTGTGATCACGTCGACCACACACTCCTAGACTCCCTCCCAAGAGACATGTCTATCGGCGTCCTGTGTGCGCTTCCCTGAATAAACTCAGAACGACGCAGAACTCCATGTGTTTGGTGTAATCATCAAGAATCGCTGAGATTCACTGCTTCTCAGAATCCATGTTCCTTTCGCGAGGGAATGACTTTGTCTAGCTGAACATTTGATTTCTGCTTGATGAACCAAGACCACGCCTCGCGCAAATTTTTCATCCATACATACACCGATTTTGCTCTATCTGTGACGTGCTGGGAAGCGGGCCCAGCATCCCTTAGACAGCATTACACGCCCAGTTGGGCAGACTCCACTTGACAAGTCCTTGACCCTTCACTTCACCCAGTACGGACTTTCGTATTCTACCCTGACACTTTCTGCTTGTCAGATCGATGATTCTGACACTTTCTGCTTGTGAGATCAATGGTTTAGATTGGCTGGATGCCTAGGTTATGACCTCTTGCCCTCCATGCCAAGCACATATTTCAAAATCAAACCCCCCAAACACCAATGTTGTCTCATCTGCCCCTGAGGTGTTTTTGGGGCCGGGGAGGGAAGCAGTACTGGCAGGTACTTCAACCGACTAACGTGTCTTTATCGCAGGTCGTCACCGCTTTCCTCCCCGTTCTCCAGCTTGAACAACTTCTCTCATGGCTCCCTTCCCTCGAACTCGAAGGACCATCCTCCTTATTCTCCATTTCACTCCGCCCTGCATAGGCTAGCGATGTCATGCCTCCAGGAGACGGTGGAAGAATGGGGAGCAGGGGAGCCTGTCAAGCGTAGAGAACAAGAAGAAAGGATGGAAAATAGAGATTACCAACTGTCTGGCGTCAGACAGCGGGAAGGTAGAGGAGGAGGACTTGGAACTTATCATCAGTTGACATGGAGGCCGCTATGGTGAATAGAGGGAACACAGAGAATCAGGAGGAAGATGCGGGCTTCAAAATGTGTGGTCGTGTTTCGCTATTGAGGATATGGATCGTGACACCACAGCACTGAGGCGTGTGTAGATGCGGGGGACACACTTGTCGGAGGGAGAGGCAATGCTCTCATTGCTTGATACCCCTTGGGTGGGGAAGTTGAGGTTGCCACCACGAGAAAGAGGTCCTTGGATGAATAATGGAAGGGCTCGGATATGGGGATGTGTGAGGTGTTCTGCCGTCAAGTGTCTTGCAGCGCAATTTCTTCACCTGACTTTCGCTCTAATCCTCCATCCTGGTCATGGCTACAAGACTTGCAGCTGTGAAAAGAAAGAAACCGATAGTGTACTGGTGACAAGCAAAGAGCTCCTGCTGGTTGTGTAGGGCCAAAGTAGAACCTCACAGAAAAGCTAAATTTCAGCAACGCTCACGTTCGTCATGCAGGGAAAAATGAAGACAAACAATCAATCCCCTCACTTTTGCATTTGGGCGGCAGGTGCGGTTGCATTCCAGGGCTGTCCGGGGGGGCATCTGGATGTCACGAAAAATGGCCTAGCTCTGTGTTGGGGGGAGGGAGGTGGGAGGGGTGGGTTCGATGAAGAAAAAAATCCTTGTAAAATTTTGGAAAGGACAAATGGGTACAAACACGGACATAAAATAGTCGGAGAACGGAAAAGGCATGCAGTTATTCTTATGTTTATGAATGGTTTCTCAAGTTCTCAATGCAGAAGGCATGCCGTAGTTATTATGTTTATGAATTGATTCTCAATGGACATTGTGTGGATTGTAAATGCATTATATAAACTAGGGGACCTGTTCCGGCTTCGCCCTCAATAATGAAGGAATTGGAGGGTTTGGTGGTGGTTGGATTTGAACTAACCTGTTGTGTGTTTCACTTCCCATACCTGTCTCCAGCTTACCACAATTTCCCCTTAGTTCGCAAGAAGTATTCTTTCTTAGATGTCAAGAGATAGGCAATCCTGCGTACAGCTTTGCGCTGGCGGGGATTTGAGTTGTCGGACGGGGCACGGCCATTGAAACTGCGCGTGAGTGCTTATGCTGCGTGTGCGCGGCTGTTGAAACCGTGCTTGCAAACGCTATGTTTGCAATTACCATTCTGTTTCGTTTACTCTCTCTCTCTCTCTCTCTCTCTCTCTCTCTCTCTCTCTCTCTCTCTCTCTCTCTCTCTCTCTCTGTGTGTGTCTGTCTTGCGCGCGCATGCACATGCGTGTTTCTTTTTTTTTAAGGGTCTCGATGGACCATGGATCGAATTTGAAATTGAGCAGAGCAGATACTACACTTGATTGGGTGGGGGCGGAGGGTTCAGGCGTAGTTAGTTAGATTGGGGTGTATCTCTATCGCGCATGCGCGCTCGCAGCATGCATTTTTCTTTTCATATATGTAAGGGTCTCGACAATAAGGGTCTCGATGGACCACGGATTGGATTTGAAACTGATCGGAGCAGACACCACACTTCATCGGATTTCAAACTGATCGGGGCAGATACCACACTTCATCGTGTGTGCAAAGGCGCGGGTGGCGCATAGTTCGTAGAAATATGCGCCAATTGAAGATTCCGTAGTTAAAGTTGTGGTGGAACATAATTTAATCCGTGAAATAGATCGCAACCAGAATTCCACCCACATTCCATTTTTGTTATTCAGCAGCTCTCTCTCTCTCTCTCTCTCTCTCTCTCTCTCTCTCTCTCTC